AAAAAAAATTATTTATTCTCTTCGAATGGAAACTATACATGAGCTTACTATGTTTCATTTATTTGATTCGTCTAATTATATTTGATATAAGCAATTAATAAAAAAATGACATAATGCAACAGCTAGTCTCTACGACTAATGTGATATGATACAGATGCTTTCTTGTATTAAATAATTGATAACATTTGAATGAATATATAAGACTTATTATGATCCTCAACTGAATTTACGAACTCTATTTTACTGGAAAAAGTTATAGCGTAATTTTCAATGGGATCTCGAATGTTGCGCACAAGTAATTTTCACACGAGATAAAAGATTCATATATATGATCCGTAAGATAATCAAAGCTTCAGTAAATAAGCAGGTCAACTAGTTTTAATTGAAATATTCTTAAGTAGCCATATAATTAACTTCATAAGCTCATTAGTTAGATTCGAAACAGTTTTTTGATCATCTTTAAATGTATCTGACATATATATATTAAGACACTAAGATATACATAGATGAATAACTACACTATCCGCTCAATAATAAATTGTAATTAATACATCCATTAAATATATGATTATTACTAGAAATACAAGCGTATATACACTAAGGACAAATAAAAGTCTATTTTCGCGCTTAGTTAATAGGTTAACTGTTAAATTTATGTTCTTGAAAATAAAATATATATCTTGTGGCTGCTGCTATATCTTTAGATTTTTATTCTGTGTCAAGCTATATAATATGAAATTTTATCGGTAAATCCTACTTTGATCGAAAATAAAAATGTCGAAAATGGGTGCTATAAAAATGTAGATAGGTAAAAACATTGAACGACAAGAATATAGAAATATAGAAATGTCGAACGATAAGTATATCGATAGTCAAATATCGAAAGGTAAACATGTCGAAAGTAAAAATATCTAAAAACAGAGTCTGGGTGGGTGAGAGTGTGGATATGGATGTAAGTGTGGGCGTACGTGTGGGTGTGGGTGTGGGTGTGGGTGTGGGTGTGGGTGTGGGTGAATGTTCTGTTTATATCGACGTCCTTACCGACACCCACATTCTAATATTTCGACATATATATTTTTCGATATTTTTACATTCAATATTTTTACTTTCGATATTTCTACCTTTCGGAGTTTTTATCTTTCGATATTTTTACGTTGGACATTTTGACTTTCGATCAAAGTAGGATGAATCAAGATTCGTCTTGCGCAACACTCACCGTGCGCAACAGTCGTAGACCCATTTTCAATATAATATTTTTGATTTGAACTCATACTTGTGTGAGAATGAGGCCCTATCTGTCTCAGAGGAGTTTTTTACGTCATAAGATCAATCCTAAATTACTTTTTTTATATACGAAAATATAAAATTTTGTATCACATGATCAATATTTTACCTTACTTTTGTATAACGTTAAACCAATACTTAAGCTGTAAAGACAAAAAAAGTCAAAAAGTTTATTAGAGTCATTTGTTACATTAGAATATTAGAGTAGATAAACTAATATCTAATAACAAAACTGTTTTTTATTCAATTTAATATTTTTCATATTGTTTTTATTCAAAAACCATATTCTATTTTAGCAATCTTTGAAATAAAATTTCTTAGATTACAAGTACTAATACATCACAGATGAGAGATTATATTTCATTTTTCTCTTATCAAAAGCTTAATTCTTGTCAATACAATGTATCATATTTTCAGTCTAAGAAAAATTGAAAACTAAACCTTAATCCATCTTTGTTGTCATTACATCTGATATATTAATGATATGGAAAGGACAAACGATTTCTAAGTTTTCATTAAAATTTTTCTTTTAAGATTCAAAGCTAAGAATATAATGGCACGAATCAATCGATATACAATTTTAACTGTTTTGGTTTTATTTATCGAGTTCACTAATGCCAGAGCTGCTAATGAAAAAAGTAAGTAGAATAGTTTGTCGTAGTTTTTATTACTAAACCAATTCAATCTTTTCCATGTATAGTCTTTATGGATAAATTATGTGGAAGTGGAGCAATTGTGCTAGATGGTGATGTTAAACCAGGCACAGCATTTCAATTATCAAGTTCTACTAAATTTCAACCAAATTTCAGTTGTACTATTAAATTTCGCACAGCTCAACCAACACAACGATTAGTTGTAACAGTTGAACAATTGAATATTGCTGATTGTCCAAGTGATACATTACGTATCTATGATGGTACAACATTACTTAATCAAGATGTTAAACAACAATGTGGTTCACCATCTTCATTCACTTTTACCGTATTTGCTTGAGATAATTTCATTTGAATTTAAATATTCAAGCATTTTTCTTCTCTTTAATTTAGACTAAAACAACAGAAGCATCATTTACGTTTGCAACCGGTAAAACAACGAAAACAGCTAGTTTTAAAATAGCAATGGCAATTCATTTTGCAGGTAAAATTATTTTTATCAAGAAAATTGATCGTTTTATTTTCTTTTATTAAGCTGTTCCTTCCTGTCCTCAAAATCTTGGCTTTTACTTATGTAAAAATAAGAATTGTATCTCTAAATCACTTAAATGTGATGCACATGATCATTGTGGTGATGCTACAGATGAATTTTCATGTTCTATGGTTGGTAAATAATCAAAAAAAGAAAACAATATCATTTGTAAACGTTTTTGCTTTTTTTTTTAATATAACATCTTTAATATTATCTTATTTGAAAAATAACTGACATAACTATATTAAAATATAATAAAGATATAAAAAATTTATCACAATAAAAACATAACGTATTTGATAACAAAAATAAAAACAAATGATTTAATTTATGACGTTGGTTGTTGACCAACATCAATTAACATATGAGTATACAGATGATAGGAACTTCTATTAAGTAATGTATATATCACGTTATTAACACCATCAGAATCAATACGATTATGTGCTGTTCGTAAAACTTTCATTCGAGATGGATTCAATTTTTGATGAACATGTTTTAACATTTTATAACGTGCTAATGATGCAGGTGGTCGATCAAGAACTAACTGTTTATTAGTAATACGTTTATACATATCATCATCTTCACCACCCCAACCCCAGTAATTTGTTGAATAACCATTAACAAGTAAATAATGTTCACGACGCATAGCTAAAAACAAAGAATTCATTATGTAAATAATGTAAAATAAAGGAATTATATTCATGATATTTAAATTTAATAAGGAGAAGTCTGAACTGATGTTTTATTTTTCTGTAATTGAGATTGATCGATACATGTAAGAATTT